AAATTCTGGTTCTAAGAAGAAAATTCATTTCAGTTATGTTAATAATATTCTCGTGGAGAAACAAACCTGTAAGGAAAGATAAACAGAGCAGAGGAGAGAACCTGCCTTCCCAGGGTGAACACAGCTGAAAAAGCTACTGGAAGCTTTGGGGTTGGCAGCGTCCTGGGCAAGTCGCCCACGGGCAGAGGTGGAATGGAGGGGACGGGGTGTACCACTCTCGGGATGCCTTGGGCACAGCCCACTTTCTTGGAAGAAAGCAGCGTTGGACCCTGTCACGCGACCCTTGCAAAATGGCTTTGAGGTGATACATGATTCGAATGTGGAAATCCAGTTGGGCGGTCCGTGGATTCCCCACGGTCTGGGAGGCTTCTGCAAAAGGACACCTCAAACAACAAACAACACTTTACTTAAATGAAACCTTGAAGCTTTCAAGGAAAACACAGGATGACATAAACAGGTAGTCTTGTTATTCCAGAAACAATCCAAGGAGAAACAATGGAGTAGGAGCACGTTTGCCTCGCCGATAACAGTTTGTCTCTCTAAAACATAAGTCTTACAAACCCATAAGGAGAAGACAGACAACCCGAGAAAAGTAGGTGGAGTTTGCAAGGGCCGCGGCAAGATGGACACCCAAAGGGCGGGGGCCAGGGTGAGATGGCCATCCCGAGGCACCAGGCCCTGTCGGGGCCACAGGGACAGGCCTGGGGGGAGGGCGGCGCTGGGGGGTGGCCCTCATCAGGGTGCAGGCCCTGGGGAGTGGGGGGTTAGGCCTCCCCCAAAGGGCACGGCAAGGTGAGACCCAGATGCAGAGTAAGGTAACAGGACCCTGAACGCTCCCTCCACGCCCAGGGCTTGCGTGTGATTGTCTGGGTCCGGAGAAAGCTGGAGTCACTCGGTCACTGGGGTGCATGCAGCTGTAGGCTCAGGGGCAGGGGGCCGTGTGCGCGTCCTGGGGCGGCTGTGACAAAGGACCACAAACTGGGGGTTCAAAACAACAGATGTCTGTTTTCTCACAGTGGTGGAGACCAGGAGCCCAAAATCAAGGTGTGGGCAGGGCCGCGCGCCCTCCTGGGCTCTAAGAGAGGATCCTTGTGTCTTCCAGCTTCTGGTGGCCACACCCCAGTCTCTGTCGGCCTCGTCCTGCGGCGTTCTCCCGGTGTGTCTCTGTCTCTGTCCAGATTTCCCTCTTCCTCTAAGGACACTAGTCATGTTGGAGTCAGAGCCCACCCTACTCCGATACAATCTTGTCCTAAGTAATTAGGGACGCAAAGACCCTCTCTCCAAACGAGGTCCCGTTCGCAGGCTGTGGGTGGGCGTGTCTTTTGGGGGCCGCCATTCAACCCATACACACGGTATGGAGGGAGAGGGAGGGAGGATTGGGGCGGGGTATCTGTGATGAAGGATCTCATCGAATAGGCTTCGTGTCTGGGCGCAGGGAGACCCGTGAGAGCCGGGCACAGAGCAGCCCCAGCTTCTGCGGGGGAGGGCATCTTTCTGACGGTTCTTTCTTCCTCAGCCTCTCTCTGTTGCTTTTCCAAGTGTGGTGCACGTATACTGAGAAGAAAAACTGTCCTTCTTGCCTTACGTTCGAACTACAAACAAGTTTAGAAAAATCAAGCAAAGGGGTGCCTGAGGGGCTCAGTCGGTGGAGCATCCCACGCTTGATCTCAGCTCAGATCTTGATCTCAGGGTCGTGAGTTCAAGCCCCGTGTTGTGCTCCACACAGGGCGTACGGCCTACTTCAAAAAAAAAAAGGGGGGGGCGCCTGGGTGGCTCAGTTGGTTAAGCGACTGCCTTCGGCTCAGGTCATGATCCTGGAGTCCCGGGATCGAGTCCCGCATCGGGCTCCCTGCTCGGCGGGGAGCCTGCTTCTCCCTCTCCCACTCCCCCTGCTTGTATTCCCTCTCTCGCTGTGTCTCTCTCTGTCAAATAAATAAATAAAATCTTTAAAAAAAAAAAACAAAAAAACTATGAGACACCGCTTCACACCCATTAGGACAATTATCTTTTTTTAAAGATTTTATTTTGGGGGGCACCTGGGTGGCTCGGTCATTAAGCGTCTGCCTTCGGCTCAGGTCATGATCCCAGAGTCCTGGAATCGAGCCCCGCATCGGGCTCCCTGCTCGGCGGGGAGCCTGCTTCTCCCTCTCCCACTCCCCCTGCTTGTATTCCCTCTCTCGCTGTCAAATAAATAAATAAAATCTTAAAAAAAAAAAAAAGGGTGGGGAAGAAAAGTCAAGCAAAGGAAGTGGGGAGACAGCAGCACCAGCCCCCACCCCGGGCCCTCCTGGAATGTGGCCACGCCTGGTGAGGCCTGTGTGACTCAGCTCCCGGGTGAGTTACACCCCCCTTGTCCCGGGGCTGGGCCTGGCAAGATTGCAAAGGGAGCCCCACCTACCAGAAACAGCCCCTGTAGCCTGTTATACCACCAGAAACTACTGAATCAGGGGCGCCTGGGGGGCTCGGTCGGTTCAGCGACAGACCCTTGGTTTCGGCTCAGGTCATGATCTCAGGGTCGTGGGATCGAGCCCCGAGTGTGGCTCCATGCTCAGCACACAGTCTGCTTCTCTCTCTCTCTCTCCATCTCCCTCTGCCCCTCCCCCTGCTCGTGCGCTCTCACTCTCTCTCTCAAATAAATAAAATCTTAAAAAAAAAAAAAGAAACTACTGAATCAAGCTTCTCTAGGTTTTAGGAATGAACAGAGGGGCAAAAGCAATGGAAAGCCAGGGAGTGATTCCCCGGGGGCTTGGGAAGGGGCATGCCCTGGGTGCATGTCAGGGTCCAGGTCAGAGCTTGGCATGAGCCTCCTGGGCACCGATCGCTGGCCTGGCCTGCACCAGGGGTAAGAAAGGCACCCGAGGACCGCAGCGAGCAGCTCTGGGCCCTGGGCACTGTTACGTTCAACAGGTATCCATCCATGGACGGACAACTGCTCGGCGGGTGGGCAGCAGTTTCTCCTAACTTGTGAAATTTAGGAACACAGCTACTAGAACATTCCTAAGATGCCGGGCACATACAGCACATTGGCCAAAACCCTCGGTCGCAGGGACTCAGGGTCAGGGTCCTTGGAAGAAGGGCACATATGCACACAGGGGCCACTCGGCTCCTCGCCCCCGGGAGCCCAGAGCACCAGGACACCTGCGGGCACACCACACCCTGTATGCAACCCACCCCGGGACCCCAGAGCCCCATGTGGATTGAGAGGGAAGGAAAGCCTCCATCCATCAGCCTGGCCGTCGTCTGTCTGTCCCTCCTTATCTGTCTCTGGGGAGGACAAGCCGGCTCGGGCCAGGCCTGTGCCCGTGTGCACGACCCATGCCAGGGTCCCCTCCCCGCCCCCCCGAGGGTGGCGCCCACCCAGAGCCCCTGGGGCTGTGCCACTCAGGAGGCCAGGAGCGCAGGTGGTTTGCATTTAACATTCTTGAAACTCTCTTCCCGTCTCAAATTAGATGTTTCTTTCAAAAGCTGGGTCTAGCCATTTTCCTTTCATGGTGAGATTGTGTGGGGCAGGGTGGGCCTTCTCTTGCTGCTCCAAGGCCCCCAGATCAGCGGGTTTTCACGTAAGACCCCACCGGGAAACCCGCCAGGAACCCCCAGGTTGGCTGATGGGGTCAAGATGGGAGGACAGGCCCGCCTGCTCAGGCCCCCGGGGGTCTGGGGAGCTCGACGCAGCAGCACAAAATGGGGGTGCTCTGTGGCCCTGGTGGGGCTGGGGTCATTCCTGCCAGCACGACTCCCCTTACTGGGGTCAGGACTGGGCCTGGTCACCGGTGGCCCCACGTCACTGGAGGCCATTAAGTTCAAAGTTCCCTGGTGCCCCATTCTCCCCGAATGACCTGAGCCGAAACCAAGGGTCTGTCGCTGAACCGACCGAGCCCCCCAGGCGCCCCTGAATTCAAAACCAGAGTCCCGACCGTATGACATTCTGGAAAAGGCAGAACTATGGAGACACGAGGAACACCAGGGGTTGCCGGGTGTCAGGGGAAGGGGATGAGCAGGTGGAGCCCAGGGTTTTAGGACAGCTCTGTGGGGGACATAATGATGGATGCAAGTCATTATGCATTTGTCCAAACTCCCCTTGTGTTCAACACACGAGTGAGCCGTGAAGTATGCGAAGTAGGGACTTCAGGCAATGACCACGTGTCCACAGATTGTGATGTGTGACCCGCGACAGCACTCACACGTATCAACTCTGCACTTTCTGCCCAATTATTCTGTAAATCTAAAACTGCTCAAAGACAAAACAAAAAGTCTGTTACTATTATTTTTCAATCAAAAGGTCAACCAATGGTCTGGCAAGCAATTTTAAAATACTTTTGAATAGGGGCGCCTGGCCAGCTCAGTCGGAACGCGGGACTCTTGGTCTCGGGGTTGTGAGTTCGAGTCCCACGCTGGGTGCAGAGTTGATTTAAAAATAAAATCTTAAAAACGAATATATAAAATAAAATACTTTTAAATAGTTTGATCAGAAAAAATGTCACATTTAATGGAGACCAAGAGGGTCTCGGAAGCCCGCAATGGGCGCTTGCGTGGGAGGAGACGGAAGGCCCGCTGTGCGAGTCCCCCAGGAGGGCTCCTTTTGTTGACAAGAGCGTGTCCCCTAAGGGGGTCCCAAAAGGCAGCAGGGTCCCCCAGCCAAGGAAAGTGCAAGGGCGGGGAGGTCTGGGGATGGTGCCAGATCCCGAGTGGGCATGACCCGTGTCCACAGGAGCACAATTCAGGCCAGTTTTGCACATTTTATTATGATCCTGATGCTGTCAGCAGGTCTCTCTCCCAGTGGCTTCCCTCCTGGCTTGTCTGTGTTTCTTGTCTGTCTGTCTATCTGTCAGCGGCCAGCACTGTGTACATTATAAAGGTACAGAGAAAGTGCAGGAAAAGAGGCGGGGCGGGGGCTCTGGCATCCGTGCACAGCTGGTCAGGGAGGAGCTCAGGACTGCTGCCCGCCCCTGGCCAGGCTGCAGCCCAGGAGACCTCTGACTGTGTGGCTTTCCTTCCTCCAGAGAGGGTCCCAAGAACCAATGAGGAGGACGCGGGACCCCTGAGGCCTCCCTGTCCTGCTGGCCATGCCGACTTTGACATGCCCCCTCTCGGTGCCCCAGATGCTCCGGACCATCCTCCTGGCCGCCTCCCTGAGTGCTCAGAATGGAAGTAAGTCTCAGGATCCCACCCTGTCTACTGGGGGGCCCATCGAGGGGGTGGGGGAGGGCGAGGCAGGGGTGGGAGGGGCAGATCCACATCAGGCCCAGGTGGCGTCCATGGCCCTGAGGAGAGGGGCTGGCCCAGCACCCCTGGGCCATGATGGGATGAGCCAAGTTCCCCCATGGATGGCAGACGGGGATACCCGCTCCAGCGCCCAGTGATGACCGTCAGAACATGGGGGTGGCCAAGAGCGTGTCCAGGTTCCAAGGGAAAGAGGGTCCTGGCCAGTCAGTGACAAGTCCTGTAGCCAGAGGAGGGGCAGCAGGACAAGCCTGAGGATTCTCTGTCTCCGCTCTGGTACCGGATCCCTCCTTGGGCCAGCAGCTCCAGCATCCCCTGGGAGCTTGTTAGAAATGCAGACTCTCGGGACACGCTCGGCCCTGCAGAATCAGGACCAGTCCACGCACACGGCTCTAGGTCAGGGCAGTGCAGGCAGCCCCCTGAGGGGCTCCTCAAACATGCCGGTCCCCAGGCGCACTCCAAACCGGTGGAAGAGAATCACAGGCAGGGGGAGCTTCTGTAACTACTCCAGCAGTTCCCAGGTGCGGTCAGGGTGGGGCACCCCCAGGCCGGATCATTAGCACGTCTGGGATTGGCAGGAAACCCTTGAGCCGCAGAGGCCCCTCGTCCTGGAGCCCTGCTCCTGGGCATTGGACAGATGAGGGCAGTCCTGCCCGGCCCTCCGGGGTTCCTGCCCGGCCCTCCGGGGCTCCAGCCCGGCCCTCTGGGGTTCCTGCCTGGCCCTCCGGGGTTCCAGCCCTCTGCCGGGGTTCCAGCCCGGCCCTCTGGGGTTCCATCCCGGCCCTCCGGGGTTCCTGCCTGGCCCTCCGGGGTTCCAGCCCTCTGCCGGGGTTCCAGCCCGGCCCTCCGGGGTTCCAGCCCGGCCCTCCGGGGTTCCAGCCCTCTGCCGGGGTTCCTGCCCGGCCCTCCGGGGCTCCAGCCCGGCCCTCCGGGGTTCCTGCCCAGCCCTCCGGGGTTCCAGCCCTCTGTCGGGGTTCCAGCCCGGCTCTCTGGGTTTCCAGCCTGGCCCTCTGGGGTTCCTGCCCCACCCTCCGGGGTTCCAGCCCTCTGCTGGGCTCTGGCAGCCCGAGTCAGCCCCCCCATGGGTGTGATGACAGCTCCTGCAACCAGGGTGGAGGGCTCTGTCCCGGCCTGGGGTCCCCCACCCAGCGGCCCCTCTATAGGTGGAGCGGGGGTGCTTTAGAGTTGTTTGAATTTTTATGACAGGTGTGTGTTTATGCAGCACTTTGACGATTTTGTAAAGATGCAGAGAAGGCATTTTATTTTTTTATTTAAATTCAATTAATTAACATATAATGTATTACCGGTTTCAGAGGTAGAGGTCCGGGATTCATCATCAGTCTCATACCACACCCAGTGCTCATCACATCACGTGCCCTCCTTAGTGCCCGTCACCCAGTGGCCCTATGTCCTCTCCCCTCCCCGCCAGCAACCCTCAGTTTGTCTCCTATGATTGAGTCTCTTATGGTTTGTCTCCCTCTCTGGTTTCATCTTGTTTTATTTTTTCCTCTCTTCCCCTATGCTCCTGTTTTGTTTCTTAAATTTCACATATGAGTGAAATCATATAATTGTCTTTCTCTGATTGACTTACTTAAACTTTGCATAATACCCTCCGGTTCCGTCCACATCGTTGCAAGTGGCAAGACTTCATTCTTCCTGATGGCTGAGTAGTATTCCATTGTCTACATAGCCCACCTCGGCAGAGAAGGCATTTTAAAACCCCGCCTCAGAACGAACACTCCAGTGGCTGAGGGGGACAGTGGGGAGACTCGGGTCAAGTTCCTGCCGTGGACAGGCATGTGGTGGTCTTCCATCCATGGGGCCTTGACTGGCCCCGCTGTAGCCCCCTTCTGGGACACGGGGAGCTTCCCGCTGGCTCCCACGGGCTCCCTGAATCGAGCTCTCCCTCTCCACTCTGCCGCCCGCCGGCCCGTGCCCGCCGGCTGAGCTGCCCCGCTGGCTGCGCTCACAAGGTACCAGCTGTGACTGTGGCCTGGGGGGAGCCCACTGCCCCCCGACACTCCGGGTGGGCTAGGCCCGTGCCTGCCTGCAGAGCTTCCACCTCAACACACCCTCGCTCCCGTGGGCATCCAGGGCCCCTGGCACGTGGCCACACATGCACCTGCCATGCTGTGTGGACTTGGTGAAATGCGCTGAACAGTGGGCTCACCCAGCACACGGTGTGCCCAGAGCTCATGCCGCTCTCTGGCGTCTGTCCGCCTGTGTCCAGTCCCCGGTGGCAACTGCCGCAGCAGGACAGGAGGATGGCTGGGCCGGCTGGCTCGCATCGCGTGGGGCGCCGGGTGCCGCGTGCCGGCGCCCCAGGTCCCCGGCCGTCAGAGTTCGCCCAGATCGTGCAGTGAGTCTGGCAACGGGTGAATGTGCTCCAGGACTCGGCCCCCCAAGATGGTGGGGCTGGTTCCACAGCCGGCAGGGGAGGTGGGGGTCCGTGCTCGCCTCTGACACCGGCGGCGTCGGTGTCCTGCAGGAGCCGGGGACCTTCCTTGTGGATCCGGATGTGCACACCTGGCCCAGGACCCTGGGGATGGTGAGGCGGCTGCAGGCCCGGCCGAGACTCAACCACACTCGCGTGAGTGGGCAGAGCGTGCACGTGCCTCCTTCTGCCCCAGAGTCCACCTGCGAGGAAGGGGGCTCTGGGGGATGTGCCCAGACACAGTGACAGGCCACACCAGCCGCGCGGGGGGCGTACATGCACGTGCACACAGCCTCCCCCTTTTATTTCTGTGTTGTTTTCCCCCTCGAGGCACACGTGCTGATTTGTCTGATCGATGTGTATGTAGCTCACCGTGTTCTCCACTACCCTGAGCCGGGCCTGTGTGCCCCTGGGGGCCTTGCCTTGTCACCGTCCCTCCCTCTGCCCCAGGGAGGGTGGTCAGTGAACGTCCTGAGGCCCAGCCATGACCCGTGTGTGACCCATCCCCTGCACACAGAATGGGACAACCCCATCTGCACCGAAGGAGTGGTTTCCGTGTCCAGAGGGGAGCGTGCCGTGATGGCCTGCAACATCTCCAACCCCTTCCTCAGCGTGACCATCTACCTGAGCTCCCATGGGAAGAACTTCAAGCCCATCTTCAGCATGCGGCCCACAGGATGCTTCTGCCAGGGAGGCTGGCGGCTCCAGGTTCAGGGAAGCGTGGCCCAGCTGGTGATCAATGACGCGAGCCACACCCAGGCAGGATCCTACAGGTGGCATCTGCAAGGTCTGCAGAGAAATATCAAAGTCACCACACTGAACGTGTCAGGTGAGGGGCGGCACCTTCATCCCCCCACCCTACCTATCTGGGAGGGGCAGCGGGGGGCGGGAGCCGTTCTCTTCCCCCTGCAGAAGTGCAGAAATGCTCAGGGCCGCTGGATGGGGCCCACAGAGAGCAGGCCTGCGTTCCAACAAAGCAGAATGAAACAAGACAGGCCTCCGCTCCTCCAAGGACCTGTACCCCAAGGGGGCTCAGGCTGGGGGGCTGCCCTGTCCGGCGAGGAGGCTAGGCCCATGCACCTTTCTCCCGTTCCACCCCAAACCTCCTCCCACTCACTACCTCTGGGGTGGGATTCCACCTGCAATCCCAGTGCTCCCTGAGGCCCCTGCAGAGCTTGGTCTGCCCCTGAAGGTCCTGCCTTCCTGCCCTCACTCAGAGGCCCCATGATCCCCCGGTTTCTCCAGCCAGCCCCAAGCTAGCCCGAGCTGGCCCCGCTGCCCCAGCCTTGTCCTGGACATTGTCCACCTGAAGAGCCCAGTGGTCCCCCAGACCAGGGCCTCCCCTCCGACCAATCCACACCCATCCCCCCACCTCCTGCCGACCCCTCAGGTGAGCAGTTCCTCACTTTCCCTCCATTTGGAGTAATGCTCCCTGTCCCCACACCCCCTCCAGGACACTGCTCAAACCCACAGGCACCACCCCCCCCCAGTTCCTGAGCTGTGGGGTGCCTGAGAACGGTGCCCCCAGCCTGGCCAGGCCCGGGGAAGGGACCCAGCGAGCCCTCTGTGGACTCCTGGTACCCTGGTCTCATCTGATACCTGGTCTCACCTGCATCAGGGGCAGAGTCCCAAGACCTGAAGGTGAGAGGACGCCCGCTCTTCACACATCCCTACAGTAGGTGTTTTTACCCTACACCCAGGTACCCCCAGGAAGCCCCCTCAGGTCCCCCCAGGCTGTCCCCATCCTCCGTGCCAACACCCCTGTCCATCCTGCACACTGCCCCCTGCCCCCTGCCCTTGGGGGTGGTGTCTCCCTCAAGGGTGCACTCAAGGCAGGCAGTGATTCCTCGTGAGTGAACAAATGATGTCCCCCCTCCCCCCGCTTCCCACAGGCCCAGAGACGCCACGCCCGTCCAAGGCCAGAGACCAGTTCAGGGTGGCCCCTGTGGTCATCGGCATCATTGCCAGCCTCGTTTTCCTGGTGGTCATCGGGTTAGTCTGCACCAGAGGCAGAGTTCCCCTGCCCTATTCCCGCCAGAAGTGCTCAGGGCCCCAGGTATGAGGCCCTGCACCTAGTCTGTGGGCTGGTGGGGGTGGGCGTCACCCCAGGCCCAGAGAGCACGCGCCCCTCCCTCAGGGGACCCCAGCTGGCTGTGGCAGATGCCTCCCTCCTGGTCAGGCCCACTGGGTCCCCAAAGCACTCATTTGTCCCAGGACACCCTGGGGGCAGCACAGAGAGGCTGGACTTCCTGCTCCTTCCGGGAGACCTAGGACGTGTGGCCCAGTGGGTACGTCTGCATGTGTGTGAGCACACGTGACCTAAGCCCACACAGATTCTAGCACGATTCGCATCCTTCCCTCCCTCCTCAGGAGAGATGGCTCTGAGCTGGAAGACGGAGGGCCTGTGAGGAGGGTGATAAACAGGCCTGAAACCCAGAACCGACTCCAGGAGTCCTGCCCCACTCTGAGGCCACCAGCACCCGCACTCACCCCCCCAGGAGTGGAGCCCCGTGTGTCCCACCTCCATCTGGTTGACAGATGCCCAGGAACCACGCAGCGGTGGCAGACAGAAGCAGCCCCTGTCCCTGCCTGCTGGCACCAGAGACCTGCTCAGCCCTTCAGCCCAAGGAGCAAGCTCTCTGCCCACCCTGGAGCGGGGGGTGGGCAGGGGGAGAGGACGGGACTCAGGCTGGCAGCTGCTTCTCCTCGGCCTTCCCCCCCATCCCCACCCCGGGCCAGTGGTTGGCTCCTCCCCACCTCAGCCTTCTGCAGGTGTCTCAGCTCCCCGACTCCCCCTCATCAGACTCTGTGGTCAAAAATGGGAAAATCTCAGGGGTGCCTGTAGGGCTCAGTCGGTGACTCAGTGGTTAAGCATCTGCCTTCGGCTCAGGGCATGATCCCAGGGTCCTGGGATTGCGCCCTGCTCAGCGGGGAGTCAGCTTCTCCCTCTCTCTCTGCCTCTCCGCTGGCTTATGCCCTCTCTCTTCCTCCCTCCCTCTCTCTCTCTCAAATAAAAAAATTAAAAATCTTTAAAAAAAAAGGGGGGGATCTCAACTTCCGAAACATTTGACCTCAAAGAACCTCTCCCTTCTCTGCTCCATCAGGGCCAGGGGTCTGGGCTTCAAGCCTCAGGTACGGAAGGCACACACTGTTGTACCCTTGGAGATGCCCCAGCGTGAGTCTGAAGTTGGTCTTGGGCGCCATCCTGTCTTTGCACTGGGCGAGAACAAGTTTGGCAATCCCTCCAGCCAGCAGTCCTGGAGTCAAGCTGCGGCGGATGGAGGCCTGGGGTGGAGCGCCGGCCCCACCCCCGCCACGAGGGGGCGCGGTACCAGAGCCCCTCTCGTAGGGAGGCGGACAGGTGGCACCTGGCAGTCAGGTGTCCACACAACCCTCCCCACCCCCGACCTCCCAGCCCCAGGGTTCCCTTCCCCCACCTGCCCACCTGCCCGCCCTTCCCCATCCCAAACCTGTTTTGTCAGATGTCTTCATAATCACAACTGTGAAACTCCATGAAATGGATTCTTAAGAGGGACACACAGGTTTTTTCTAAACTACACATTCAGTGCTCTGAAAACCCATAACCCTAATCCTTACGATGAATAAAATAAATCAACCAAGAAATCATCAAATGACCTGAGAAATACACATTTTTTAAGTGGGGAAGAACATAAAAACCAAAAGAAGCTGCTTCCTGTCTTAAAGCACTAAAAAGGCAGAAGGCGTCGAAAGATGCCAACGGGGGGGGGGTCCTCCCTCACTGCGGAGAGCCCCAGACTGGAGGCCCTACCTGGTGCCTTGACTTCGGCCTAGGCCTACAGGGAAGTCCCGGGCCTGGGTCTTTGACTGTTTTCATTTTCTCCTTGCTGCTTGTGTTTTCGAGGGTTTCTCTAAGGAGATTGAGTTCTGGGGCCTTTCAACGCCCTCCCTCCAGGCCCCGCCCCTGCCTCCAGGGCCCTCCCCGCCCTCCAGGCCCCGTCCCCACAATGTAGGGGTCACTGAATTGTAGGCCAGATTTCTGGGCATAAATCAGGTTCAGCAGGAAGTGACCCAGAGGACCCAGGGCATCTGAAGCCTGAACCCACCCCACCCAGGACTCCCCTGGCTTTCTCCTGGTCCTGCCCCCCACCTCGGGCCTGTGGGACACAGCAGGAGTGGGGGACCGGGACAACTGGTCACCCATTGGGCACTCAGCAGGACAGTGTGGAGGGGGTGAGGACTGCCCCTCCCAGCCTGGCCCTCAACACCTCCCCTTGCCCGTGGCACCGCCTCCAGGGAGCCCTCCTGGAGTGCCTGGACCACCAGTCACCGCCTCCCGCCCTTGCATCGTTGCCTGGGGGTTTGGGGGCGGTGCCTGCGAGCTGGTGGCACGCAATTAAGTGCTGCAGACAGGAAGAGTCTCAGCCAGCTGTGAGAGGGGGCCCTGCCTTTCCCTTGTCGCTGGGTCTGTGGTGGGCAGGGTGGTGGTGAGCATGGCCCCAGAGCTCCCACGGCTCCCTGTGCGCCTCACACTCGCCTGTACCCTACTCAGGGCTCTGGCCACCCAAGGTAAGCCCTCCCCATGTACCCACTGTGCTCCCCCAAAGTGGGCTCTGTGCCCCCACCTGGGGATGCTCCTTCCTGGGAAGGGGGTGGTCTGGGGATGCTGAGTGTGACCTCCCCACAAAGCAAACCCCCTCCCCCCCCCACCCCCCGGTCAGTGACGTCTGGGTGCAGAATCACCACGGCTCTGGTCTTTTTCTTTGCTTAAATGTCTGGAGATACTCTTTTCAATAATTAGCGAGGTTGCCTTGGTTATGCGAGAATGTTGTCCTTTAAGTTTGCTTTTTAAAACAGATACATGTGCAAAGTTCTGCAATAAGACGGAAATATCAGTGCAGTGAGGTGGGGAGACTCAGCAGAAAAAAAAAAAAAAAAAA